TCAGAGCAGAAATTAATGAAATAGAAACAAAGAAACAATACAAAGAATCAACAAATCCAAGAGCTGGTTCTTTGACACTTTCAAAACAACAAAAGCAGAGAAGGGCAAACTTCACAACAGACACCAAAAAGATCCAGAACATTATAAGGGAATACTTTTAAAAACCTATATGCTACTAAATTAGAAAACCTAAATGAAATGGATGGGTATCTATAAGCATGGGAACCATCAAAACTAAAGTGAGAAGAGATCACAAGTTTAAACAGATGCATAACACATAAGGAAATTGAAACAGTAATACAAACCTCCCATCTAAAATTCCCAGGACCAGATGAATTTACAGGAGAATTCTACCAGACATTTAAAGAAGGTCTACATCCCATACTACTTAATTTATTTAAAAAGCTAGAAGTGGAGGGAGAACTTCCAAATTCCTTCTATGAAGCCAGCATCACTCTAATAGCAAAGCCAGGTAAAGATACAACCAAAAAAGAAAACTATAGACCCATATCCTTAATGAACATAGATGCAAAAATTCTCAACAAAATACTTGCAAACTGCATACAGACACACATCAAAAAGATCATCCACCATGATCAAGTCAGGTTTATTCCAGAGATGCAGGGATGGTTCAATATAAGTAAGTCAATAAACATCATAAATTATATAAATGGGCTCAAAGACAAGAACCACATGGTTATCTCAATAGATGCAGAGAAGGCCTTTGACAAAATTCAACATGCATTTATGTTCAAAGTCCTAGAGGGAATTGGGCTGGAGGGAACATACCTCGGCATAATTAAAGCTATATATAACAAACCCACAGCCAACATCATCTAAATGGAGAAAAACTGGAAGCATTCCCATTGAAATCAGGAACCAGGCAAGGTGGTCCACTATCTACACTCCTCTATAACATAGTGCTTGAAAATCTTGCAAGAGCAATAAGACAAGAGAAGGAAATTAAAGGAGTAATAATTGGAAAAGAAGAGATCAAATTATCCGTATATCTCAGATATATCTGAGATGCCAAAAATTCCACCAGAAAACTCCTAGAAATCATTAACACATTCAGTAATGTGGCAGGTTACAAAATTAATCTACCAAAGTCTGTAGCCTTTATATATACCAATAACAAACAATAAGAGAAAGAGTAGATGGAAACACTCACCTTCACAATAGCTTAAAAAATGTCTCAGAAAAAAACCTGACCAAAGACATTAAAGAACTCTACAATGAAAATTTTAAATCTTTAAAGAGATTGAGGAAGACATCAGAAGAGAGAAGGACCTCCCATGCTCATGGATTGGAAGAATTAATATTGTGAAAATGGCCATCCTACCAAAAGCCATTTATAGATTCAATGCAATGCCAATCAAAATCCCCATGACATTTTTCACAGAATTTGAAAAAACCATCCCAAGATTCATATGGAAGCACAAAAGACCTTGGATAGCCAAAGCATCCCTGAGAACTAAGCAATGCTAGGGGGATTACTATATCAGATAGTAAACTGTATTACAGAGCTATAGTCATAGAAACAACATAGTACTGGCACAAAAATAGACCCATAGATCAATGGAACAAAATTGAAGACCCAAATATGAGCACATGCGATTTCAGCCACCTGATATTGACGAAGGGGCCAAGAACATTCACTGGAGGAAAGACAGCATGTTCAGCAAATGGTGCTGGCAAAACTGGATCTCTACCTGTAGAAGAATGAAACTAAACTCCTATCTTTCACCTTGCACAAAAGTCAATTC